ATATTTTCACTATAGAATTTATATCTACCAGATGCTTTTACCTTAGAAATAGTATCTCCAAATTCAGATTTGACTATAGAGACTGCATTAATCTTATAAAGAAAGAGAAAATTTCCTATTTCTTTTATGAATTTAATCTAAGCAAATTTTGTAGAGTTAAGTTCTACATCTAATACTAGAAGATGCAATACGCATTAGACTCTCAACAAAGAATTAATAGAGATCTAACGGTTTTCCGCAGTATATTTCTTTAATCAGATCCTTTAGTGGTATGATTTAAGCAGCAATTGATACAGAGAACTGAGGTTATCGGTATTCAATGAAGTGGAAAAGTGTCACATTTCTCTTTAGGACATTTGATACCAATAAGAGTTGAAAATGGTTAAAAGAATTTTGACTATTAAAAAAAAGTATATAAAGTCATATTGGTGGCAACTTATGCTCTGCATGTCTAGACAGTTGCGACAATTGCTTTACCTCTAATATAGCCCCAACTGTTTTAACTGATATTATTGTAGAAGCAATTATTTTCGTCAAATTATTACACTTAAATCAACTTCTACTTCCTGAATTGTATCGCAGCATATAGAACATTTTGTTATCATAACATATTTTTTATATAATATCATGATGATAAAGTTTAAACAAGAATTTATTTATGCTTTGCACTGCACAAATTTTTCAAGTATTAATCTCATCATCATAATTGATGTATGAAAATGAAAATGCTAATAAATTGCAGACATTAAACATATTAAATTAAAGCGAAACATTGAAGTAAATTAAGAAATTATTTTGATAAAAATTGAACTAGAGTTATACACGAATTAAAGGCCTATTTCTTTTGAAGAATAACTTTAAAAGGTTTTGGCTGATGGCTTGCAGTTTTTATACTTAAATGTAGTGCACAGATGGTCGAGACGAATTGCACAAGGATTAGCCTTGTGTAAATGCTTGTGTATGTCAAAATAAAACTTATGTTACCACCATTGTGTACTTGGTTAATAAAGAAGGATTATATAATGATTCCAAGATACTCTTATAATTTATCTGTTTTTTATGAAGTCTACTAAAAACGTAACTAATTGCGCTTGAAAAAATAGCTACAGGTCAATTAACTGCTATTCCATCATGTGGCTTACTTACTGATTTGGAAAAAGCTGCTCTTGGAGGCAATATTGATAACTTTGCTTTGTAGTACTTGCTTACCCAATTTTCAGAGTCTTAATTTTTTAAAATGTTACCACATAAATATCTCCTTATGCTCTCAGTACTGATCATCTTGCATTAACTGTTTTGATCTAACAGAATGTGTACAATTTAATCCTTTAGACATCACTCCAATAGTTTTAATTGTTCTCCAGACTTGGAGATTATAATAGTTGCACCACCTTTATTGTTAAAATAAAATGCTAATAACTCTTACTTTTGATCGACTCACATAACACTGTTCAAATGCATGCATTACGCTATCATATCTAAATCATGTAGTGACAGATTGCCGTGAGTTGTATAAAACTCAATATATCAATTAATGACTCTTTTAAATATATCCTATTTGAAAGTGAATTCTGGTCACATTACTGTGGGTGCTATCAAAACAAAGGGAGGTGTAATAGAAACGCTTTAACATATCCTAATTTTATGCCTGCTAAAATTTGTCTTGGGTTATACAACTTCAAAAATCTCTATACTATTTTATATTATCTGATAAACAACACCAATTTCAAGTGTTGGAAGAGCATTAAAATAGTTTTTTCTGAAAAGTGTGTATAGCATAGAATCTACAGATACGTTTATTTCAGCCACTTAAAACTCATAAGCTAATTGTGTTAATTGTGTATCAGATATATAGCTTTGCTGAAGATGGCAATTTAAATCTTAGCAACTTTGTTCAAAACATTTTTCATAGCAAATTACTTGGTGGTATTAAAATTTACTTAAATTGTATGCTAAGCAACTAGCCATTTATTAGAGAAATTAGTTCTTGTACTTGATATTTAACATCTCGAAATCGCTGAGCTGATGAGCAATGAAGAGATATAGGTGACTTATTTAAAACTTATGAGCTGGCTATAGATTAGCTTCACAACTCCTAATTCAATTTTATTTCATCATCACCGAATGATTTCAACAATTTTATGAATCGCTCCCTCACATATACTTACTGTAAGCTCCAAAAAATTAAAGATGCTTATATTACTAAATGCATGCTTGACTGTGTCCCTTATTTTATGTGCTCTATAGTGTGCATGCGATTTGTGAGTTAGCAAGAAAGGCTGGAAAGATATTTAAATTCTTATAATTGTTCTATCACTTAACTGAGTGCATATAATTTCAATGGATCTCTTGCTTTCAAAATAAATTTTAAATACAATAAAGCAACTGTTAATTATTAGATTTGCCTAAATATTTTATTTTCAAGGAATGCCTGAATTTTAATATAAGCAGAAAGATTTGAAACTTAAAAGAAGAGTAAAAAATGAAAAATACTTTTTATTTGATTTATAATAAATGAAAATAATTTTGAAAATAATATTTCTATACTCTATTTATTATTATTGAATTACTAAAAATATCATATTCAACATATAAAAGATTTTTCATTTTTGTAATGAAAATGAATTAAGAAAATAAGGGCCTAATAAGAATTAGTTTTGATGACATTAAGATATGCCCATTATGTGAACACAGCTTTAACTGGCAAGAAATATTCAAACACTCCGTCCTTCGAGTTTGGCCCTCGATATTCCACAAGGCTGGCCAAAATGACACATTATTCATCATCCAAATTATTATTATGATGATTTGTAAGTTTTATTTTGAGGGTATTAGGTTTATCATATACAAAACAATCAAGGGTATTTGCCTTTTTAAATATTTTACAGGTTCTGCACTACCTCATTATACTTCAGCAATATAGATGCTATGAAGTATTGCATTGAAGAAATGTAAATGTGCTACAGTCGTAAAAGGAAATATGTATTGGGCAGGAGTCAAAGTATCATCATTAATAGGCAGAGAGACACCTTAAGATATATATCTGATGAAATAATAGCACTGTTGTATTCTAGACACTGCAAATTGTTTAGCATGATGAGCAGTGTTGAAAGCTATTAAATTTTTTATAGTGTAAATGCTATTAGAGGATTCTTAAACTCTATCTCAAATAGTTAATCACCGCATTGAGTATCCTTAACCAACTTGATAACAAAAACAGTGTGGACTCAAAATAAGAGTTATGTTTCAAGAAACATTCTCTTATGCAAAGTCTATAGTAATTGTATTTGCCCAACAATAAAGAAAGAATTATTTTATTACCTTGAAATATTTGCCAGTAGGATAATGTTCTAATATATTTGAGGTAGTATATTGTCAGCAACTTCATAAAATAACTTGAGCAAAGTGTGCAACTATGACTGTCATTTGCTTCATAAGATCCAGTAACATAATCTGTTACATAAGAAGCAGTACGATATGTAGTACGATATAAATTCAAATCGGTGCTAAATTAAAATAAAGTAGCCTTTTGAACATTCTAAAACAAGTAGAACTCTCTAAACTCTTAGCGTATGCTAAACTACAATTGTATGAGGAGAAGATGAATATCCAGTTGCAGGAGATGTATAATTATAAAAAAGAAAATATGCACAATGATTTTGAGATATAATTTACACAAACTTAATAATAACTATCAGCTTCTTTATATTTAATGTAAAAGGAAGATGATTAAGAATTTAAAATTTTGCTTCAAAATGATATTTACAAATTAAAGCGCGAGGGTGATGATTTATTCTTTAAAACCAAGCTCTAGAATATATTAAATATAATCGCAAGATTTGCAAGTATAGCACTTAGAGCATGGAGGTATGCATTATTATAAGACACATCTTTTAATCTTGATAATCATATTTGAGTTTAATAAAAAATTCCCTTATCATTCATAATCACTAACAATCTGGAACATGAGGTTAAAAAATTAAAGATGCATGAATCTATTTAATTTTCATACTACATTTCCTATATAAATATGAATTTTGTATTTCTTTACTGCCTTATAATTAATTTTATTATTTAAATTAAGTATAAATAAGAGAACATTAGAATATTGAAATTTTTACGTCACTCAACCAAATTTTGAAAAAAAATCGATCTAAAAATTATAAGGTATAAATGTATCGGAATGATTCTTAACTCAATTAGATAAATTAAAAGAATTAATTATCATTAATACTTTAATGATTTTACCTAATTCTATTAATGCTAAATCATAAAATATCCTTTAAAATAATTCTGAATCCAAACTGTCCTAAAAATTCGTTTTCATTCTCAACATAAGGTGAAAATTGATTTTAGAGACTAAATAATTAATATTTATTTGTGAAGAAATAATAATCAAAGGCCAAAACATAATTGAAACATTTTTAAACTTAGCCTTATTATAGGCATTTCGAATATGCTGATTTTTTTACCTAGTAATTCTAATTGGCAATCTTGCCTTAAGAAATTAGTTAACTTGGATTGAAAATAAATGAATATTCGTTATTAAATTTCTATAAGATATCAAATATTGATAAATTAGTTTATTAATTTACTAATTTATAGATTATTAAGATAATTGTCCTATTTCTTTCACAAAAACTTTATTAAATCTAATCTAGACTTGGCGACATCTGTTAATCCTACCATAAATACACTGTGCTATTACAAATAAATTTGTTTATATTTCTTGGGTGTCAGGTTCCTGAGTCCCTCTTTAACCTGATCCTAATGAGAGTACTTTTTCTTTGTCCTTCTTGTCTACTTTAGTTGATCAGACTTAGTAGAAGTATTTAGTTTTAAGGGCGCAGCTCTAACAAAAAGCTTTCCTAAGAATGTGTGTGAGGAGAACTTCTTGATAATGGACCAATTACATTAGAGTCCATTACAATCTCATTGTTCTTGTACAATATCTTAATTGACCGCATACTAGACGCAATGTTGGAAAAGATTTTGTAGAATCACCTTGTCAAACCTTATCTATTCTAATCTTTCTATATCCATTATTATTTCCAAAAGTTTTATTTTACCTCTTTTTTCTGTGGGTTTATTGAGTTTATCATTTTAATTTTTGTCATGTTCAACAAGCATCTTTCTTAATTTTCCAACTTCCTATTATTTCTCCAGAGACTCAGTTGTAATCAGACCCATCAAAGAAAAGTGCCTCTTTAGTGTTCGTAAGATGTCCATAAATCTCTTTCCAATTTTGTACTCAAGAACATTTAGTGCCTTAAACTTGCACAGATCGTCTATAGCATAAGTCGTAGATTGGATACTTAGGAAGGAAATTCACTTATAGAACTTAAATCTGCTCTTTATCTATTTTTTTCTTGCATTCATATTATAAAAAATTATGTACTTTTGAATGGTAGTTGAATTATTGCTAAAATCATAATTTAAAAATTTTATTCACTTTTGTCATTTTGATCTTTATAATCAAATAATTAGAACTATCTTATTTTAGTAATTATTAGATTCTAAACTTAGACTTGAAGATTTTACTAATATATCTGAATGCCGATAACAGAGGTTGGGTTGGTAACCCAAACAAAAATATAATAAATCCATATATATTAATCCATTTTAATGAGGGAAACTTCTCATCAAACTAAAACTATGCCAGAGTGTAATTCATAGCTATTAAAATATAACTATTAGCTAATTTCAGCAGCAAAAGGATATTCTTTAGAAAGCTATTAAATTTTTATAAACCAATACTAGGATTTTATCTTATGAATTTCTTTAAAATGAAAGCTGAATAGTTTTTGAAAATGCATGTAACTCAATAAGGGTTCAGAGAATTAATTTTTTGATTAATGGTTTTAGATTAATTTTAATTAAATTAAAATTGTGATTTAAGTTCAAATATAATTCCAATTTTTTTATACATTTGCAAGATGAGGCTTTTTTATTTTAATAGTGGATTCAACATAAATTTTCTCTTGTCTCATTCACCGTTGTTAATCTCAGGATCTACAGAATTATCCAGAAAGATTTGCCTCCCTTATACTTGTTTTAATCCCATATTTGAAATGCCTAAGAATATTGCATTTCCTGCGCCATCCATATGAATTTAATGACTTTATCACCTTAGTTTAAGTTCTTTAGTTTTTTTTCTGTAATTTGAGTTATTCTTCTGATGTTACTATTATCTATATCGAATAATTTTAATTCACTTTGTTTTTATTTGGAGACAATTCTAGAATTATATAATTGGCATACCATTATTTTCAGAAAAAGATTTCATAATTCTCAAGAAGAACTAATAGATAGCATGCTATAAATGCAAAGATTTAAGTATTCATATACTGTTTATTTCTGTTTGGAATATTTCTTAACAACATTTGGAATAATGAAACGTGGTTGAAGTAAAAGTTTGATCAAACTTAGAATATCCTACTTATGTTTGATCTTCCTCTCCTGAAAAAGCTTTGAAGTAATCTTGTTTGAGGGACAATTTCGAATTATTTTTAGGCGAATTTTAAGAGAATATTGAGTTTATGGTTTTATTGAGATTCACAATTATTTATTCAACTAATAAAAAAAATAAATCTTACTTTATAATTATAAATCCCAATAAATGAAATAATATTCTTTAAAAAAAATGAAAATTCCCAATCAAACTTCTTAAGAAATGCTCATCTCAAATGTTTAATTGCATCAAATCTATAATAAAAAGCATCAATTGATAATCAAATGAAAAAATTACTGAACCTAGTAAGATTTATTGGATAAGAAATTTTCACATTTTCAAAAAATCATTAAAACTTTATTACAACTTTAATAAATTTTACACTCCTATAGCTTTATCTTTTAGAAACCCAATTCATACTGGTGTTAAATTTCTGAAATGATGTACCTAACTGTTAAAGAATTACAAGGATAATACATTCGAAATATTTGATAAATGTTGAATGGATTATTCAGTGAAATATTACATCCTTAAAACATTTTTGCAATTGCTTTAGATGTAGCACTGACAATCATTCAAAATTATGTCGTTTAACTATTTTTAATTTAACACATACTCGATATTGCTATTCTATTCACTAGATTAAGGTTTAGCAATATTTTTATCATATGACAAGGCTCTGTTAGACAAGTGAACTTCGAAAGATAACATACTTTCGAATTTACTTATTTTCTATTAAAAAAAGAATTGTTATTTTAATTCACTTTCAGCAGAAAAATTCTAAACTGATAGATAGATATAATTTGGTTGATCTTTTAAACGTATATAATAAAAATGTATGTTATTTTATGTTAGATTATATAATTTTTAAAATGTAAAAGGCTAAAATGATAGAAAATGAAAAAAATTTCCTTTGCTCACAAGGACATCTGAAATAAGCTGTTACAATTACGCTTGACCCAAAGTTATCAAAAAATAAGAGACTACTATGTCCACAATGTTTAGAGAATACAATAATAGATGGGAAAGCAATAGGATTAAAGATTATGATTTCAGAAATTAAAGATGCTTAAGAAAAGAAGATAGAAAAATTAGAATATATAATTTAATGCTAAATTAAATTAATTGAATAATTATCTGATATTGTTGATCAGATAAGATCAAACATAATCCAATAACTTGACTAAATAATTACTATATTGAGCTAATGGATTCAGAATCTACAATAACAAATATAATAATATTCTAAATACAGCTTTCAAGATGAATTAGAAGCTATTATTTAGAACTAATATAACACTGATGATGAATTATAATTAATAAAACATGAAATTTAGAAAAGTAATAACTCTTGGACATAAAAATTAAATTCTAAATTAGATTAAGTAAGTAAGCAAGATTAGTATAAAAAATTCAGAGAAGTATTGTAAAGTTCAGAATTAAATGGTTAGTTATTTAATCAGAGTGAATAAGAATAGCTTGAAGGAGAGTCTTTATAATAAATTACTTCTTATTAATAAAATATTTTAGAGGAGGGAGAAATTAGACTTAAATTAATTGATTAATCTGTTAAATAAAGTGATATATGCAAAGCAATCGTTTTTGATTCTACTGGGTCAATTATGATATCAACTTTAGATAATGAGATTAAAGTATGGAAATTTCTAAATGGAACATTGTAATTAACATCAACTTTGGAAGGACATACTGATTAGATATAATGTTTAATTTATAGTAAGAAATAGAATTCTTTTATTTCAGTTGCCTTAGATTAGACAATAAGATGCTGGAAATATTAGAACTAAAATTTATGGGTTAGCTCATAACCTTATTAATAACACAAAGACTTTATAAGATGTATTATATTGAATTCAAATGAGGATTTAGTATTTTCTGGGAGCGAAGATAAATCAATTAAAGTTTGGAAAGTTGATTTTCATCAAAATAAATTGATATATTATTATACATTAGATAAACATAATAATTATGTTATCTCATTAAGTTTAAGTTAATCAGAAAATTTATTAGTGTCATGTGCATAAGATTAGAACTAAATTATTATTTGGGAAAGAAGATAATTACATAAATATGAATTCAAATAGTTTGTTAAATAGTCAGTTTTAGACTATGGGTTTTAGGTTAAATTTATTAAAGAGAATTACTTTATTTGGATAACTGGTGGCTAACAAATTGATAAACTCTACATATTTGAATTTAATCAAGGAGTTTTTTAGGAGAGCAAGTGGAAGACAGTTCAATTTATGATAAATAATTAAATATATGACGAAAATTGTTTTCCTATTATTTATAATAAAGAGAGAAATTTGATAGTAATAAGACATAAAACGTTTATTTACATACTTAGAGAAATGAATGATGGAACTGTCAAAATTGTTAATTAATTAAATTGCAATATAAATGATATTTATGGGTCTGTCACTAATAATGGGCAATATTTGGTATATTGGGATGGGGATAATGAAGGATATTCTATTTATGAATTATTGTATAAATGAATAAGCTAAGATTAATTTTATTTATAATGGTGTTGTGATTTTTTATACATCCAAATTATA